AAAATAGTCTGAACTCTGAAGTGCACTGGATTGAGTGTTTTAAAAGGTTAGTTCTCCCAAAAATGAAAAGTCTGTCATTAATTACTCACCCTCATGTCGTTCTAAACCTGTAAGACCTTCGTTCATCTTTGGAACACAAATTAAGATATTTTTGATGAATTCTGAGAGCTCTCTGACCCTCCATAGACAGCAATGTAATTACCACAATCAACGTCCAGAAACATAGCAAGGATATCGGTAAAATAATCCATATGACATCAGGGGTTTAACCGTAATTTTACGAAGCTACGAGAATACTTTTTGTATGCAAAGAAAACTAAAATAACGACTTTATTCAACAATTTGTCTCCTCCGCATCACTGTAGTGCCATTTTGGAGAGTATCCACTGAACATAAACAGCGTATGCTGTTTTGTGTCAGCTGCGCCTGAACTATCCCTTTAACACTAGGCCTACATTTTTGAACGTATGTGATGAGCAGTTGACACAGAGGTTTGGTAGTGTCGAGGACACACTCATTGCTGAAGAAGAGCAGCTCTATGAATAACTCTGTGCCCATTTCCCAGCTAAATCACTGCTCTGTTCTATTACAGGCTCTGGAAAACGGCTGCTCTGGTGGTTATAGACAGCTGCTTTTCTCATTCATGCTCAATAACTGGTTCAGAGCCAGGTTAGAAGCCATGTCAGATGTAGACCAGACCTTAAAACCTCATTTGCCAGCTCTCGAAATGAATGTCAAACTCCAGAGCATCACACAATAATCTGAACACTGGATAAATTTTAATTTCTGACCTTTCCTAATAGTCACATTTTTAAAGTGACAGTGTGTGTTTCTTCTTCATGTAGAGCCATTTAATGCAACAATGCACTCATATATGTAGATGGTAATATGACTGGACTTTTATTTATTTATTTTGATATATATTTACTTTTTTGATTGTAAAAATATCTCCATGTATGTTCCACAGACAAAAGTCATAGAGGTTTGAAACTACATGACAGAATTCATTTTCTAGTAATCTAATGCTTTAGCACTATTTTATATAGTCAGATTACAGCAGTCCATGTAAACTAAGCATTTGCCAACATAACTAGATTTCCTGAATGAAAGTTGCTGATATTTAACCCTAGATATATTTGCTTTGTTTGTATTGTATGTTCCACAGACAAAAGTCATAGAGGTTTGAAACTACATGACAGAATTCATTTTTTAGTAATCTAATGCTTTAGCACTATTTTATATAGTCAGATTACAGCAGTCCATGTAAACTAAGCATTTGCCAACATAACTAGATTTCCTGAATGAAAGTTGCTGATATTTAACCCTAGATATATTTGCTTTGTTTGTACCCCTAAGTAAAATTAAGATGTTTTTCCTCTATATCAGGGGTTCTCAAAGTCTATATTCAAAGGTCCAAATCTGAATTTTCATCAGTGTCAAAGGTCCGGACCGGAACAATTGGTTATTACAAAACTTGTTTTTAATAAACATACATAACATACATAACAAATGAACATACATTTTTTGAAAAAATAAAGTGCAAAAGTGGCAAAACAATTCATTTAAGTGTCAGCACTAGAAGTCGACCGACAAGGGTTTTTCTCTGGCCGATGCCGATATTTAGAAATCAGGGCAGGCGATGGCCGATATATTATGCAGATTTTTTAGCCGATATGTTTGGCTGATTTTTTTTCCCCCTTTATCTTATAAAACGAGTTTGAGTAAATGATTATTGCAGGGCACAAGATGGTAGTAGTAGTAGTAGCCTAATTCATAGTAATAATACATGGCTCAAAGCACCTTCTCAAAACAGTTCTGAAGCATGCTTTTTGTTTATGTTTGCTGACAGACACCAGTGTTTCCCACAGACTTGCAAATGCAAATTCATACTCTGCCAGCAGGAGGCACTGTTGGAGCGGCGATATAGCGGTTTCCCCGGTAACGGCTGTAATCAAATACAAAACGCTAGGAAAGACGAAATGAAAATGACATCAAAGCTTTTCTGAAGACGGTCGGTTCTTTTCAATTATACATTCATATAAAAACACCCGCACTGCATTTTCATTTTGAAACTTGCAGTGCTCAGTTTATTCAACGAAGTAGAATCCTTTTGGAAAATCTATTTGTGGCGGTCAGTTTTGATTTTGTGACGGGCCGCCACAAATAACTCAATGTATGGGAAACACTGGACACTGATATAAGTCAAATGACCATAATCTAAGTGATAACAAAAACAAATAAATAAAACATTTCTCATATTAGAGTGAAATGTCGTCCGATTATGTCAAAGGTCATAACTCATATTAGCGGTGAAATGTCGTCCGATTATGTCAAACGCTCACTGGATGTCATGAAGGAAAAGTTTCAATATCTCGCCTTCACTTTCATTTCGAACCATTTTCAAAAATACATTAAAAAACTAAATATATTATTTACAAGTTTAACATGCGTTTATCAAAGTAGGAAATAATTAGTGTTCTTGAAATACTAAATGGAGGCGGGTCTGGACTGAATTCCCTCCGGGTCCAGATCCGAACCGGAGTCCGGACTTTGAGAAGCACTGCTCTATATTCTCACTATATCATCCTATATGTGCCATAAAAACTCAATGTATTTTTTGTTTGTTTGTTTTTGGTAAAATTTTTAACACATGCACATATGCATTTTTTTTTTTACATTTTATTTAAAGTTTCAGACTATTCCATTTTAAAAATGAGACTTTACAGTAGTGTTGGGTGATATACTCAATATCGTCCTATCGGCAGCCTGTGAGATCGCCGATACACAATATTATCGTTCAAATTTATTTAATTATTTACTTAGTAAAGTGAACCAACTCCAGCGTAATGTTTTTAATATGACTGAATTTGTATTTAAAATGATAAAAATTTAATAGAAACATTGTAAGTTACTAATGCTTACATTTCCTCAGTTATTCGAAAAGCAGCTAAAGAAAACGAGCAAAGAACATTTACATTACCGAAGAACATCATAACTGACTTCAGTTAGCGAGAGTATAAGCACTTTAAAAAACACTTCCGTTATAATCTGTGAAGCTCTACACTGTATGAATAAATCTCTTATACTTACATCGCACGTACATCTGCACTTTGTTGTTTATGATGAGAATTCGCGAGTCAGAATTCAGTCAGCCCTTGTGGTCTTACAATAAAAAAACTGGTTGTTTCAATACGTTTTGTATAGTATTTTCTTTACTCTTTAATTGAAATGTCTAATATTTAGGGATGCATGCTGTTGGATTTTGCCGATATCCAATATGCTGATATTTTTCAACACTTTTTGGCCAGTAGCCGATGCCGATACCGATATATTTCCTTTTGTTTGGAAACAACACCAAGTCTCTCCTGTGTGGAAATTATAAGCAAATTATTTTTTAATTTTGGTTAGTTTTTAACAAGAACTTATTTGTTAGAATTAAATAAACAATAATGAAGTTATTTTATAATGACATTACATTGAAGCTTTGAAAATAACTATAAATAAACTATATATCAATCGCTGCATTTTTTTTTCAGAAAGATGCAGTAGTATCCTTAACATTTTATTTTAAGATTTAACATTGTAGATGGTTTAAAGCAAAAGAGTTGTAAACATTCTGAAAATCTTTTAGAGCTCATAATTTATTTAAAATATATAACATATTACACATTAATGAATAAATCAGTATATTTAAAATTATTTAATTTACAAGTGTCATGTTTGTGATTTTTTTTTTTAATTCATGTAAGCTATACGTGCTATTACGGTTTACTCTATCACACACCAAACGCGTCATTGTTAAATGCAGCAATCCAAAGCAGTGAATCTAATCACCATTTAGGCAAAACTTTGCTTCAAAAATGAGTCACGCTGCTGAGGTGATCTAATCGCTAGCACACCCTGAGCACATGTGAGTTAACCTACTCCTCTCGGCAAGACATATCGGCATAATTTTTCATATTAGGCCAATGCCGATATGTACATTTAAAGCCATTATCGGCCGATTCCGATATCGGTCCGATAATATCGTGCATCCCTACTAATATTTCATGTATTTGAGGTCTGAGATGCGGGAACGGTGAAGAGAGAGAGGGCAAACATTTTGCATTTTAGGTCAGCATTGCCGTCTAATCAGAAGTATTGTCTTAAATAGCCTGCATAGCACTTCATCTTTTATAACATGGGATTTTGACCAAATGTATTCAATCTTGATTTTTGTAAAATATTGCAACAAGATGTTAAAATTTTTTTTGTTTTTTTTCTTTGTGAAAAATTACAGTTTTGGACATATAAGGTAATAAGAAATATTTACCTTATATAAATACCTTAAAGTAACTACAAATCCCCCCCTTACCTGTTTGCATCTCTGATTCATAAACTCAACGGAATTGTGTGTAATTGGTTAGAACACTGTAAAACGAAAAGAAATATGATGGAACAAAGAAGCCTTAATATTAATTAGATGATATTACTAGCCTGATAATAATAATAATAATTGTCTTGCTATCGTCAGAGGCATCAGCCACAGGCGATATCTCTGACTATTGTCGATACACGATACTATGGTCTGTCGGCACAACCCTACTTTACAGGCTCTTAATTCATATGTCAGGCTTTACAGGGTTAATAAGCAGGTGCACACATGACTCGTGGTTCTCTAGCTGCTCTCAGATGTGACTCTGCTGATGACAGCTCCTGAGGTCTGTGTGTTTTACTAGGGGAAGGGGAAGGACTTCCTGTCGGTACAATAGCTGCCCGCCTCTTGGTCTGACCTCAGTCCCAGGAGTCTTTTTGGCGAGACGCAGTGATGTCTTCTACCAGAGCGCTCTGCCGTGGGTAGAGGAGGGAGGCGCTGTTTCCGCACATTGAGTGTCAGCGGTCACCGCTTCTGGTAGTTCCAGCAGGAATAGATAGGACTGCGTGACCTCTTCCTGTTGGAACAGGAAACCCTGAGTCACGGTTTCAAAGCTAAACTACTGTTTCTCTGTGTGTGTCTGTAGTATCTGGGGCACGTGGAGGTCGAGGAGTCTCGTGGCATGCACATCTGTGAAGATGCCGTCAAGAGATTGAAGACGGTAGGTGTACAAACACACACAGACTTCCTTCATCGGTCACATGCTGGGACGACATCTCCTGTTCTTCACCTGAACTGTCTCCTCAGTCCGTGTCTTCCTCCGCTCACACCACAACTCTTCTTTCCTGCAGTCGACTCCAAGTGATCTATTTAAAGCGTGTCTGTCTCCTCCTGCTGTTCTCTTCCTCTTCTGCTGGTCTTGCCCATGCTGTCATGCATCAAAACAAAAAGCTTCATGTTTAATATAAGTTGAGCTCAGTCGACAGCATTTATGTCATAAGGTTGATTACACAGAAAAGGATTGTCAGCTTGTCCCTTAACAAATGTTACTGTATACATTAGGCACTGTGATGCTTTTTTTCAGGATTTTTTGATGAATAAAAAGTTAAAAGATCAGCGTTTATTTAAAATCAAAATCTGTTGTAACGATATATGCTACCGTTCAAAACTTTGGGGTCACTTTTTTTTTTTTCCTTTAATTTTGTGAAAGAAATTAATACTTTTATTCAGTAAGGATGTGCTAAATGGATAAAAAGTGATAGTAAAGAGACTTATATTGTTAGAAAAGATTTATGTTTTGAATAAATGCTGTTCTTTTTAACTTTTTATTCATCAAAGGATCCTGAAAAAAGTATCACGGGTTCCAAAACAATATTAAGCTGTACAACGGTTTCCAACATTGATAATAAATCAGGATCGTGTGACACTGAAGACTGGATTAATGATGCTGAAAATTCAGCTTTGGTGACAGGAATAGATTACAATTTAAAATATATTAAAATAGAAAACCATTATTTTAAATTGTAATAATATTTCAAAATACTGTTTTTTTTCTGTATATTTGATCAAATAAACTCAGCCTTGATGAGCATAAAAGACTTCCTTAAAAACATTAAAAATCTTACTGAGTGTAACTTCTGTTGAACCCAATATATTCTTTTGTTTTTATATTCTTTTAGCCTCTTCTGAGATGTAGAGCCCTGTATCGCTTTCCTCCTATCCCTCCACTGCACTGTCATCTGATTTCCACCGAAACGCTGCTGGAGCATTTGTGAAGCTCTCTCAGAATCACCCCGATTGTGTTACTACATAACGTGCCCACAAACCAACATGCAACAGCAGTCTTTGTTTACAAGGATTTCTAGTTTTGATAACATTGTTAATATCCAAAGCTATTTAATTAAGCATTTAATGAGCATCACATTTGCAAATAAAATCATTTCATTTCAGATTGACTGAAAAATTACATAGGCTGAAATAACTTACCAGCACAGAAAAAAATAGGAAGCCAGTGCACAGACTTTTTTAGTGATTGTTTTGAAAACTTTATTCTTTATAAAGACGTTATTCTGAATGCAAAGAACAGGTACCTTATCATTCCTCCAAACCTCAACACGTAAGCACACGGTCTGCTCGGAGAGGGACAGGCGTGAGTTTCCTGTCTCGACAGCGTCCAGCGGAAGACATTCCATTCTTCAGGCAAAAGGAAGTCCAGTGCGCAGTCTATTTTCCACGTTGACAAGGCCTCGCACGCCTCCACCCAGGTTAAGCTCTGGAGAAAATAGAGTCATGATGTTTGTCACTTTCCACCTGACGGCTTGCTCTGAGTTATTGCGTATCATCTTCTTCTTCGTTTGACCTTCTGTTGGAAAAGATTGCTGCGTTTAATCACATTAGTGATGCTATGTCCTTTACAGTTTTTATATTTTATATAAAAAAAAATTATATATATATATTTATAGTTTTAAATTTAAAGTTGTAGTGATTTTGTTGGATGCTTTATTTTAAGTAATAGAAATGTTTTTTATGGTTTGATTTTAGTTTTAGTTAACTTTAAACCCTGTTTCTTACACTTTTTTTTCTTACACTTAATTTCACTAAGTCTATCAAAGAAAAGAATGTCATTTCTCAATTCAGTCGATAGAACCGAAGGATCAGAGTAGACAGATGTCTGCGTGCTCTGTGAACGAACTCCCGCTCGTCTGGGAATTCCTGCTTTCACAGAGAGTAATAAAACAGGAATTCACCTACAAATTAGAGGTCTGCGCGGGACTGTTTTTTTAGTCCAGCTCCCGCAAGGTTCTATTCCGCACCCACCCGCTCCTGCTATATATTCACTCTTTGTTCACCCGCTGTCCGCTTAGAATAATT